AATGCTGTCGTGTGGCAATTATGTAACGGTGGGTCATCCCATAGCACTTTCTGAAGGAGCCAGTCCTGATCTGATGCGAGGGGTTAGGGTGCGATGCAGCACCCCCTTTCTCAAGTCACAGCTCTGATCTGATCACGGGGAGTTTTCCTGAGATATGGCGTGCATCATCTTTTATCTGAGAAGAGACAGAAGGAGAGTGAAGCAAGCAGGGGTCAGAGGAACCTACTACCACCAAGAAGCAAGAGCCATGAGCAGTGGGTTTCTTGAACACAGGTCCCTGCCCTGGGAACTTCTAGACCCAGGAGAAGATTGAGGCGAAGAAAAAAGAGGTCTCAAAAAGTCGCTAAGCCCACGGGTGTTGAAAGGAGACAGGGCTTTCCTTCAGAGATGGCAAAGAGAATTCTTCCCCTAGAGCTGACTCCTGTAATTTGGACTGCTCGCCCCCTAAACTGAGAGAAGACATTTCCACTCTCCAAAACCTGTGGCAGCCATGGACTGACACCGGATAGACTGGCACAGTGGCTGCCACAGTGGGCGCACGTGTGGGAACATGTGAGGATGGTGCAGGAGCAGGGAACATTTGTCTCTTGTTGCACAGAGGGCCGCTGTGGGTTGGAACAAGCTTGATGGCACCTAACAACAGCAGCAGTGTTTAAGAGCTCAAATGCTAACCAGAAGCCCGGTGGTTCAAAGCCACCAGCTAGTCCACTGTCTGCCACTATAAAGACCACAGCCTTGGTAACCCTAAGGAGCAGTTAGTTCTACTCTGCCTTGTAGGGTGGCTATGAGTCATGTAGCAGTGAGTTACCTTTTTGTTTTGTGTTGTTTTGTTTTAAGACAACAGCTGTCATAAGCTGGATTCTCGAGAGTAGTAAATCTAGTGAAGCTTGTGTTTGCATGTAATGAGAAAGTTTATTTTAAGGAAATGGGTCACACAGTTAAAGAGGCAAGCAATATCCAAATTCATGGGTCAGATGTTAGGAAGCTTCTCTTGACTAAGGTAGATACAGGAATTATTGAGCGCAAGACCAACAGGTCAGGCAACTGGCTTGTGGCTGCAGAAGCAAATGAATCCAAGGCTTTAAGATAAGAGGCTGCTGATTACTCCTAGGATTCGCAGGCAATATGGTAGAACTGAAAGTTGATGAGCCAGTTGCAGAATCCAGACCCCACAAAAGGAAAGCAACTGTTCCTACCATGTCCACTTACATTAGAAGCAGGCCACACCCTTGAGGAGATCTCATCCGTCATCCTGCCAAACCACTAAGAATCATGGCCCAGCCAAATGAACACAAAACCTCACCTGTCACAATAGCCAGCACTCCGATTTGGACTTCCGTCTCCCAGAGCCGTCAGACAATACCTTTCTGCTCTTTAGAATCGCCACCTTTGTGGTGTTTTGTCCTGACAGTCCTAGGAAACTATTGTTGTGGCTCGATGCAGTCAAGCCGACTCAGACTCTTACCAACCCCAGGCCCAACAGAACGGAATACCGCCTGTCCAGTGCCACCCACAGTTGTTACGTTAGGCAACTAAGACAGACTGGAATGAATGGCACTATATAGCTCAACATTGAGCCCCACATAGCCATGTGCCACAACATCCATATGTCCAACCCGGTATGCACTTGCTTCTTGCATTTCTTCTCCACCTCCCACAGTCCTAGCATGCTGAGTAAACACCCATTCCAATAAAACCCTCTGCCTGGCACATGCTGACTGATGCCTTAGCCTAGAACAGCGGTTCTCAACCTGCAGGTCGCAACTTCTTAGGGGATCAAGCGACCCTTTCACAGGGGTCACCTAATTCATAACAGTAAAAAATGACAGTGATAAAGTAGCAATGACAATAATGTTATGGTTGGGGTTCCCCACCACATGAGGAGCTGTATGAAAGGGCCGTGGCGTTAGGAAGGTGGAGAACCACTGGCCTAGAATGTCACTGGTCTGGGCAGCGCCTACTTACCGGTAAAACCCATTTCCAACGTCTCCCTCTCCAGGACCCTTTCTGCGGCTCTCTGCCCCTCCATGTACATTGATGGCTGTTGGCCAGTCAGTTGTGACTCAGCTAGCCTGTGCATAGTGGAACGGAACCCTGCCTGGGGTTGTGCCATCCTCAGAGTAGTTTTCTTGACCAGCCCTCCTGCCCCACAACAACACGCTGATCTCTGAACTGGAGGACAAGGGTGGGGTTTTTATAAATCTCTTTGTCCACAACACAGGCCATAGCTCCTTGAGGGGTAACAGTAGCTATATGATAAGTAAATGTATAACAGTGACAACAAATGAGTAGCACTAAGGCTACTTATATACAACCAAACACCTCATGGGATTTGGCTTCTCAGTTTGGAGGTTTACGGTCATGGTTTCATGGGACATTTTGGTTAATTGGCCTAATGAGATGTATAGTGCTTCTATTTTATCTCCTAATTGATTGCGTGGTGCCTGGATCTTAAACGCTTGCAAAAGACCATCCAGGGCACAGTTGGTCCCTCTTCACCTGGAGCAAAAGCGAAGAGGAAAGTCAGGGACAGGAGGATGCTACAGGATGTTGGCTAATGGCCTCCATGAACCACTGTCTCCTGTGTGACTAGACTGGAGCTGTATGATTCCCAGCTACCGTTACTGAACACATGATCACAGGCTCTATTAAAGAATTATGCTCAAAAGGAGGAAAGGTAGAGCAGAAATTCAAATTTTCATAGAATCCAGATTTTCTAGAGCCAGAGAGACTGGGTGAACTCCTGAAATATTGTCCTCAGACAACCTTTAATCCTCAAGCCAAAAAATCACCTGAATCTCCTTCAAAGCAAACAGTAGTTTAGCTTAACTATCAGGAAAATGATCTGCCTTGAACATTATGGGTTTGGGGTTTGTTTTTTGTTTTTCAGTTTTATTGGCACATAATATCATAGAATTCAATCATTCAGTCATGTCAAGAATTGTACAGTCACCAATGTGCTTGACACAATGGATGTATGCATGTATTGTGATAAGAACTATATGTGCTCCCAATAGAGTGATTAAAAAAAAAGAACTGTACAATCATTAACATAATCAAAGGGGAAAAATGAGGACGTAATGCCGGGGGCTTAAGTGGAGAGGAAATGTTTTGAGAATGATGAGGGCAATGAATGTACAAATCCACTTTACACAATTGATGTATGTATGGATTGTGGGTCGCGACCCCTTTGGGGGTTAAACAA